GGAAACCCATCTTGAGATAATAGCAAAACTGATGAGAGAAGGAAGAAAGAAGAAGAAATAGAGGTGTCTTAAGGATTTTAAGCTTGTCAGACTGGTTACCATTCACTAAAATAAGGTATAGAGAAGAAAAAGTAAGTCTGAGAGAAAAGAAAGTACATCTTCAATATAGTAAGTTGAAGATTATTCATTACCATAGCAAATACAAACATATTAAAATCAAGAAAATATAATAGTAGAAAACCATTGCATGTAACTGCTTCAATAGGGCGATCTCTTCATGGATGACAGACAGTAAAATTAATCTGAAATTATTACAAAACATTTATTTAGTTCTTTAAAGTTCTGGAGGAAATCAGGAGACTTTCTAAGAAAATATACTGATTATTCTACTCTTTATGGCAAATTCCTCCCCACCAAAGGGAAATCAAACATTTTTCTTTGTTAAAAAAACTGGCATACAAATTTCAAACTACAGACTAAGTCAATTTCTAAAAACCAACCCCTCCTTCATCTTTTTCCTTTTCACCAAAGAACCAAAAGCACTTCACAGATTTTCCCCAGTCTTTTCTTGGAAATGGTTTAAGTCAGATATTTAAGCAGCAACTACAACTCTTTTAGGTCACAATCACTGAGGAACTACCAAAATGATGTTAGGATCCTTAAATTGTAGGTATCACCACAGGCAAAAAGTAAACAGGAAAGGGAAAAAAGGCTTTGGGAAAAGAAAGAATAAAGGAAAAAAAAAAAAAGACGCAGCAAGAAGAAAGGAATCGGAGGGTGTCCTAGAGAGGAATGGTAAATGCCAACACACATTAAAGGCTATTTACGTGAACTGTTGCCAACTATAGGCCTACACTAAAAGCTCCCTAATGGTCTATGCAGGAAGTTCAAATTTCAGCCAATTATAAAGTTGGAAATGGAAAACACAGGGAATCCCATATACACAGAATCACATTCAGAAAATCCAGACACCTATTTATCCCCAAGAGAGAAAAGTGGCCTCTGGGACAGGAAGGAACCAATTGCCTTCTTTAATCAAACTTCTGTCCAATACTTATACTTACTCTACAACAACTTGACAATGGATGCTGTGGTTACTGAGGCAGAAGATGCACTGTCACTATTTCTCCGGCTTGTTGCCCTCCTTCCCTATAGCCAGGCATTCGTTTGGGACTCTTAGAATCATTATTCCACACTGACATCCTGGCAAGAATTAGCTTTCAAAAAGAAAGAGTACATCAAGTTGCCCT